GAAAGAGTGGAGGGCCATCCATCCAGAATATCAGGAGATTTGGAAACATGTGGATCCTGTCACACACCTTCCTGTCACAGTGGAGAAGGGCCACACCAAGAGAGGTGGGGGGTTTGCCCAGGGCTGTGAGGGCCGCATGCAGCCTTGCCCACAAAGGTCCCAATCCCCATCACAGCACCTCCCCTGAGCCACCCAGGGGACTAAGGACTACAGGAGGTGTTCTGGCCTAAGGGCTCATTCACTTCCATAAGGGACCCTTGATTAGATGCAGAGAAGATGTGCCCCATGGCAGGGGGAAAGCACAGCCCCCTTCAGACCCTAGGGCGACCCCACATAAGTGGAAATGAATCTGTGCTGATCAAAATGATCTGTGCATATATCAGATCAAATCAAAGATCTCACATGAAAAATAAGAAATAAAGAAATAAGACCTCCCAAAAACATCCCTTTTAAGGTGTCAGGACACATCTTTCTCCCTGCCTCTGCCTAAGCCAATCGAGCAAATGCCACCAGCCCCTCAGGCCAGCCCTCAGCCCCTTTCCCCTGCCTGCCCCGCATTCTTGGGTCTCTCCCTACCTCCTCCACTCCTCCCACCCACTACCTCCCTTCTCAAAGTCTAGCTCAGAACTGGTCTTGCCTTCCCCACCAGAGGAGAGGGCGCCTGGACAGCCAGACAAGGGTCCTCCCAGGCGCTCACACTCCCCCAGCCTGGACACCTAGGGAGTTCTGCAGGCCCCCGGTGGGGGTGGGGGAGGAGGGAGAGGCCCTACCACTTTCAGGGCACTCAGGGCCTGCTTCTCAGTATCTCTGGAACTGAGGAGCCATGAAGGATCACATAGCAGCTCTCACCCTTGATCCAGCCATGAACTCTGAGAGGATGCCAACTGGTGGGTGTGCATAGTAGCAGTGTTCTGGGCAGAGCCCAGCGCTCACACTCCAGGCTCCTCTGCTCTGTGGGGTCTCTGTAACCCTGGACATCCACAGGAAGGCAGCCCAGGAAGCCCAAGAGATTTCAGTGGGAGTCCCTGTCCCATGGAGTCCCACCCATCCTCACTGGGTCACCGTCACAGGCACTGAGCTGGGAATCAGGCCTGGTGCTGATCAACCCGAGCGAGCCCTGTCACATCTGGCTGCCTGGCTCCCCACATGTAAACTGGCAGGACTAGACACCATAGTCCATGTTTAGCCCATCCACAGTTAAAGCCACGGGAAGGCTCTCCTCCCTGGGGGTTGAGGGACCACCTACCACCACACACCCGTCTCCTGCCCCCAGCCCTGCTCCTGGTGGGTTTAAGACTGGAGCATAGGAGAGCACACTACCCCGGCCAGCCTCTGGCGGTCCCGCTGAGGCCCAAACACATGAGAACCTGTTGGAGCAGTTTGGGCACCAGTATCACCTACTCTTCCTCCTCCTCCACTTACTTCTGGGTGGGAAGGGGCCTCGGGTAGGAAGGGGCCTCGGGCTCTTGAAATCTCGGCACAGGGCCAGGTCATGGTCACAGGCAAAGGCCAAGCTTTACCTCCCCCCCCACCCCATCTTCCTCTGAGAGCATAAGGTCAAGTGAAAACCAGGGTGGGCCTGTGTCTGAAAACAGAGAGGAGGGGAATGGGGAAATGTGATGGCCAGGGAGGCGGCGGCAAAGTCACAACACCCCCACCCACACAGAGACACCATTCTGTCACCCGCACTCCCGCCCGGGGACATGCAGGCCGGCCGGGTCCAGGAGCCCTGCTGGGTCCGGGCAGGGGTCCCGCCCGCCCGGACGAGGTGCCGGAGCTCCGGGCCGCGGCGGAGGGTGGGCGCGTCGGCCGCCACCTGGCCGGGCCCC